TGAATTTATTTAGTAGTTATTTCAAAACTTTCCAATACATATCCGACTTCCAACTATTTAAATTATCAAAGCAAGGAATCGCATCAATTTGTACTGAAGGAACACATGGTGGTAATTACTTGGTAGCCTAAATTAACGCCCGATCCTCTGTTATAACTCAGAAAAAGTTTGTTTATCGCATACGTAAAAAGGCCGTTTTCTTAAACCGTGGTTGAAAAATCAGAGGCTGGTTATAACGACTGCTCAGGAATACGAACAAAAAGAGCTAGTGTGGCGGGTCCAGAGTTCACTGGTTGTGTAGTGATACGAAATATCATAGTTTTTAATTGCGTCACCACACTCTTGTTGGGATTTACTTCTAGTGACCACCCGTTCATCCATGCCACCGATGGGCTGAGATCATCTTGTAATACTATTCTATCTGACATACTGTGTCTGGGTTCCCAAATTTTGATGTCATCGGAGACGAGTAGAACGGATGACTTTTCTACAGTTGGTAATTCATTCGTATGAAGTGAAAAGAGAAAAAGACCGAGGATTGTGCCTTCGGGAACCCCATTTTTTACAGATTCCCATGAGGAGAAGGCTCCATTTACCCTTAACCTTTGCCTTATGTCATGGAGAAAATCACTTATCCAATCTATGACTGTATAATGGATTCCAAGACTTTCCAGTTTGAACTTAAAACCAGACTGGAAGACCTCATCGAAGGCTTTACTTAGATCTGTGAAAATCATATCTACAGGAATATTTCGATCTTTTGCCGTAGCACAATCTTCTCTTGCAATGAGAAAATTTGTCAAAAGTGATAGGCCTCTCCGAAAATGACGTTGTTCTCCGGATAAAAGATTATTTCTTGCCACACAGTTTATAACAGCTATCCTAATAAACTTTCCCATTAGGTTTACGACTGCACTAGTTAAGGTAACGGGTCGATGGTTACTAATTAAATCTAGTGACCAATCTGTCGTACCGGCACACTCCTGAATGGCCGTTATGTTAGCTCTCTAAATAGCTAGGAGAAGCTTAACCTGATCGTATATAATGTCAGTAGAACTAAACGTGAATGAAAAAACAGAGTGATCGCCATTCACCAACGGTGGAAGAATAGTTACGTCGATAATATTCTCAGTCTCATGAGTGATTACAAAGTCCATCATAGAAGACCTAAGTTTGCACCAAAAAGTGTGGGTTTGGATGCATGCCGTACTAATGCCTGCTCCATTACCGTTATCAGGAACCTACTAGCATACGAGTTCATAGATCCTACTGTGACCATCTCAGTCCAACTAATATCAGGTGCATCAAAGTCTTTTGATATCAAGTATCTGTTATTTTCCCACCATAGCTGGATTCGCTCTAAAATAAAGTCACCAGCTAAGCAGATTGGGCTGCGATATATGACACCGAGTATAAATGTACAACATCCAGAAGTGGGCTCACAGTTAACGACTACATAAGTTCCACTATCATGGATACGTAAGCAAGAGAGCGGATATTTATATTGTTGGCTATGTATAAAAGGACACCACTTTCTTTCCTACATCTGTACGTACCACTTATTAGGTAATGGTATCCGGATAATTCTGGAGTAATGTCGAAGTCGTTGACTAACAAAGTTTCCTCCATAGTTACAATGAGTGGCCTTAATTTGTCTACTAATGCTTCTAGTTCACCTCCTAGTTCATCCACACAGGCCGTGGTAGCATTTGCTTTCAAGACCTAACTATTTGGTACAGCGAAACATACAGAGCCAGTGTGAGTTAGGCCTCAAACATCTTTTGTATGCGGTGAGACTTAAACGGGTACACATCCTATTGGAATCATTTTTCACACTTATTATACTGCATTCCCGTCTCCACGAGTAATAAATAATTTGGCTGTCCACATTAATATGTACTGCCAACCATTGTAATGAGATGAAGGTTTAAAACACAATCTGAACACAGGTGTCAGAGTCAGTGAGAAAGAACGTGCTACAAGATGAAGTTTAACAAAATTTCAAGCCTTAACCGAAATGCTTCGAGTTAAAGTAGACAGAGGATGCTTTTGGATGTAACCGGTACACAAAAGCAAAGACAATCACTACCCTTTTTGAAACACACACACCTAAATTAAACCTTACAATTTGTAGTACTCCAAGTGTCTAATATCTTCAAACCTCAAGAGAAATAATTCAGGCTGAAGTTATCAATTCGGAAAACCTTATATAGGTAGGCTACCTATCCATTCACGTAAGGGTCATACAGACGAGCAGAAAAGAAAAGCTCACGCGTTTCAAATTGAAAGCATAAACTGTTTATACATGAACGCCTCGAGTTTACCGAATGAAGTGGATGAGCTACATGAACTCAGAAATGCTAATAATGCTCATCTGACAGGAATATATGAAACCTGGATAACTTCTCAGTTTACGGACCAGGAGCTAGCTATAACCGGGATGTCTATGTTTCTCAATGACAGAAAAACAGGGATTGAGGGTGAAGTAGCCTTATACCTGCGATTATGCCTGGAGGTGCATCAACTGCATAACCAAGGGTTTATTCATCTTGATGGATCCGTTTGGTGCTCAGTAAGATTGTTCACCACCTCGAGGTGTCTAGTTGGAGTTATCTACAGGAAGCTCAATACTGACATCGAGTACGACAATGGTATGCTGGAAGAATTATCCCGCTCTACGCACCTGATTCTAGGAGACTTCAGTCTTCCTAAGGTCAATTTCGAACGGCATACGTACACTGGGGGTGAAAACTCTATCGAAGCTCGGTTCTTCAACCTGATTAAGGGTCAGGGATTATTTGAAAATGTGAAATCGGCAACTCGTTGGAGAGATAGTCAGACACCGTCGCGCTTAGACTGGGTATTTACAAAAGAAAAATTCCTAGTTGACAACCTCTCAATCCTGGCTCCCCTGGGAAGAAGCGATCACGCCGTTATAGACTTCAATTTTTTCAGCAAAACTGAGCTAAGACATCCCACTAATAACAGTAGCGGAAATTTAGAACGGTTGGATGTGTCAGCTTTACGGGACAATCTACAACAGGTGGATTCGGAACTTCACCCTCAACTCGATGTGGACGCTCATCGGGATTTCTTACTGTACACGATCTTATGTGCTACAAAACAGTCTGTTCTTCAAATTGTCCCCAAAATCTACTAGCAACCTACAATTATCAAGAACCTCACCATTCATTTGCTCAGCTAAAGGCACTGTTGAGCGAAATGCAAACGAACTGATAACAACTGCGCGTGCAGGCAATACAAACATATAAGGGATATATGCACAAAGGCAATAAGAGATAGGCTTCAGTTCCAGATAAAGCTTATGGATAAATTTGTCTTCAACCGAAAAAGGTTGTTCCGTTTTGCAGCCTCTCGTCGATAGGCAAAAACTGAGGTTTTGCAACTGCTAGGTCCTAATGGCCAGGCCAATAAAGACGATGACTCCGCGAACCTTCTGGCTGAACAATACTTTCGGACGTTTCAATCGGCCCACATTAGCCATATTGATGAAAGCTTCATCGGCAACCGCACAGGACTTCACGAGGTGAACCTTAGCGTGATGTCCCTACACTCGCTAAGCCGACGCAAACTACCAGAAATTTGGAAGCTGCCTCACACCTCACCACTTTTCAAAGGAGGTCGACGCAACGAACCATCAAGCTACCGACCAGTGGCTCATCTCTCTATACCTTCAAAAATTATGGAGTCCCTGATATGAGACGATATACACGACTATTTATTATCTTTAAACTTCTTTTCACCCCGACAGCATAGTTTCAGGAAGGGTCATTCTTATATAATCAACCTGCCGACTGCGGTGGACAGATGAACCATCCTTGATCACAATGGGAAGGTTAATGTCATTTGCCCTGACTTCTCAACCATATATGTCTTATCGATAAGCTCAAACGATTGGGTATCAAGGCACCTCTAACTGACTAGCTCACCTCATATTTAAAAAATCGACATTTTAAAGTCAGGGTTAACTTCACTTTCTCTCAGGCTATGGAATGTGCTAGTGGGGTCCCTCAGGGTCCAGTGCTAGGACTTCTTCTCTTCCTGGTTTATATAAACAATCTTCCACAACAAGTATCGTCCGACTTATTACTTTTTGCTGATGGTTTGAAACTTTGGTGAGAGATACGCAACCAAGAGGATATACTGGCACTTCAGGAGGATCTGACTCGACTTCATAGTTGGGCAGACGTCAACGGACTTACCTTTAACACTTCAAAGTGTAAAGTAGTCCATCTGCGACATGTTGCAGACTGCAGTTACAACTTAGGAAACCCCTCTCCATAAGTATCTCAAGTTGCAAGATTTAGGAGTGCTGGTAACCTACGATTTGAAGTCTTACGCTAAGTATGACAAAAATGCCTTCCGAGCGCACTTTTGGCCAGTTTGACAGCAGGGCTTTCCACATAATCTTTAACAGCTTTATTCGTCCCCATTTAGAGTACAGAAGCACCCACTTAAGTTTAGATCCAACATAAACCTAAGTAATAACACCCAGAAACTAGACACAACACAGCAGAACGGACATTAGACACAGATTCTATTCCTTAAGAGTTGTCAAATACTGGAATTCGCTGCCCACTGAGCTACTTCAAGCGACTTCCGGGGAGTCTTTTAAGAGGAAACTTGACTTATTTTTAAGGACTAAGGATAATATCTTACCATAATTTACCAATTTCATTTTCCTCTATTATCGTTAAAATACCTTGGTTCCTGCCCGGAGATATTATTGATCCACTGCAACTAGACACGGAAACTCGCTAAGCGAAATATTCTTCTATTCCATCCACAACCATTTGAATCATTTTGAAGTAGACCAAGCATGCAAAACCAAAGTACTAAATCACGACTCCATTCTAAAACACTCGCTCTTTCGCTTTCATCACTTAAAGGTTGGAAGCTATTAGACAGTACGGCTAAACTAAAACCAAGTTTCAAATTCTCTTGATTTGACCGCTTCCGGGAAACATTACAAATTGTCGAGGCAACGCAAAAACCGTTCTATGACAGTTTGACCTTCAAGTGCTCAGCGACCTCCAACGATGGACGTTGCCACTGAGGGGTGGTTGCCGATGTGTGGTTAGTGGTTTTCGTGCTTTTCGTACTTTCTCGTTCTCGTGGTTTTAATTCTAAGCAATTTTCAGCAACGGGAGTCACCATTGCATTCCGTCACATTCTATGTTTCTATTTCGGTATTTGAGGACTAAAGTAAAATGTCCACGTTTAATTAAATCTTACAGGAATTGTCGAGAAATTCATCTATAATGCAATGTGAATGCCTTTTGATCTTTTATTTAAGCACATCAGATACTACAAAAATTTCAGAATTTGTGTATATTTTCAGATAGTTTGACCAGTTGTGTACAAACACAGCAACATTCTAGCCTTTTGTTAAAGCGATAGCTGTGAACTTCGGTCTGAACGAGCTCGTGTCTTATATAAAGTGTTGGTTCATCTATTGATAAAGTTTTCGGAGTATACAGATTTGTAATGCTTAATTTTCTAGAGTAATCTTGTCATTACTTAATGCAATTCTGTATTTCCTTTTAACTCAGTAACACGTTTCCCGAATATAAAACAAGTGGTTCGTCGCATATAAATTTGTCATGTCTCCCGATGCATTTCAAAAAGATGTAGCGCAGTATGGAGATTGTGTTATAATCGATTTGGGGAGTTTCAAGAATCTAACTACAGTGCTTAAGAAGGGCGATGTGTTACAGACACGTTTTGGAGCATTGAGACATGATGATTGTGTAGGAAAAAAGTATGGATCGAAGGTATGTTGACAGACTGACGTTTTCGTGATTACTTTTAGTCTTACTAGTATTACTTATTAATTAGGTGTTCGGAATAAAAACACTACTGCCGGTTACCTCACTACATGTAATAAGTGTGTTTAGGTCTCACACATTTCTGATTGAAGTAGTCTCACAGTTGTCCAAAACGACTACTTTTTGTTTTTCGTTACTAATGCTCTAGTGTATGATTTGCAATATTTTAGAGGAAAATCAAGGTTTCATCGAATTATCAACAGCAAAATGTTTACTTTATATCACATACTAACGTGATTTAAAAGGGCTTTTCTAACCGAACTGATTCTCCCTATAAGGTTGGTAGTTCATTAGTTATATGATAGATATGACCCATAGTTGATTGTTTTGCTGAAACGGTGAAAACTAAAGATAATTCCTTCAGTCTGACAATATTCCCTTTTAAAGAGTATTTCCGTTTCTGCAATTTCTTACTGATTTGTTAGAGCTTTATCCAAATTAGTTTCATACAATTTTGCTTGCTTTCGACAATAAAGACTACTGACGCAGATAGTTCCACTCTTTTCTTCTCTTGTATGTGTTTTTTGTCGTGTTCGTTTCTCAAAATCGAACATTAGAATCACCGTCGTCACAACTACTTCATAATTATCACTGAGTTTATTCTTGGGCTTTTAGATCCAAACATCGCGTGGATATGTGTATATATTAGCGTTAAGTCCAGCTCTATGGTCAGAAACATTGCCTCATCGGACTCAAATAATTTATCCATGTGATGCAAGTTTAATTGTTGGGGGCTTAGATTTGGCTCCTGGGAAATGGGTGTTCGAAGCGGGGACAGGCAGCGGATCATTGACGCATTTCTTAGCTCAAGCTGTATTACCCCATGGTCATGTTCATACGTTTGATTTTCATAGTGAACGTGTTAAGTTGGCATCTGAAGAGTTCAATGTGAGTTTTGTTTTCTGCTTATGTAGGTTTAAGTAGATTTGTATATTTCGGTTATTGATATGGTGGAAATGATCTTCATGGATACTTATCCAGGAGTCTGTTGAGTTAAACGTTATTCCTGATTGCATAGAAAACGTTAAGTCTATTGTCAGGTCATTGTCATAGAATATTTCAGAAACTGGAAAATTCTAGGAAATGCCTATTGGAACTGATTTATTCACTAATTACATTACCGTAAACACTACATATTTTATCCTAGAATATTTTGTGTGGCATAGCACAATTGAATCTTATTTACTGATATGTTGGGATTAAAAAGCAAAATTACATTCTTTTACTGACTGTGATTTTTGTTCAAGATACGGTATTCTTGTATTAAATTAGCATGAACTATGCTGAGCATGACACAGCATATGATTTGTTATAATTCTAGGTATTTTTGATATATATGATTTCATCCTGATTCATAATCAAAATAGATGTACAATCAATGTATAAATGAGTGTATTTTCGGCTAGGGTCGTCGTCGTGTTTCGGGGTTCATAAACCTTCACTTGTACCAGTCTTTGTGTTCTTACTTTCGCGTCGTGGAAATTTTAGTGGTTCCTCGTTTTACAAGTATAAGTGACAAGTTATTTCGACATAAGACTTAGCGACGACTAGATATAACAATTGGCGACGCAGTCATAACAGTCGACCACTAGTCATAACATTTACCATACATTGTTCTTTTATGTCACATGATGTTCTACAATGTACCATTTAGTTATGGGTATTTAGAGTAAATACTGATTCATTACAATAGGTAAAAGTTTGAACTGTAGATCATTGTTGACAAAAAACCACGGAATTAGCTTATCCGTTAATTTCTATCTTCGATGCACACGTTTCTTCATGCATCTAATTTTAGAAGAGTAAAATTACGATATAGTTTTTTTCAAGAATACTCATTTCCATATTATTTTCTATTTGATCCCATGATTTATTCAGTCACATTCACTTGGGGATGTTGTGAAGGTTGATATCCGTGATGTTTGTAATGATTATTTTCCACCAATCGGGAGTGAATTAAATCCTAATGGTGTAGATGCTGTTGTCTTGGATCTGCCTAGGCCATGGGTAGTTATTCCTCATCTTGGACGTACTCTCCGCCCTGATTCAAGTAAAGTTTGTAATTTTTTTATAGAGTATCTGAAAATAGTATTCGAAACAAATTTAAATATTTCGTCTCTTTTTTCATGAGTAGCTATGACTCAGTAGCTTATTTAGTTAATTTTTAACCACTTCATCACAGTTTCAGTAACGAAATGTAGGTTTTGACGTTGATTAGAGGAAGAATTCAGTTATTTTTAATATCCTGTCCATACTTCCGTGATCCATAAGTTATGGGTCACTGAATCGTCGATCAGTTGCTTCGTATATGTAACCATAATATTCGAAATGAAATCAACCGAAGGCTAATTTAATAGGGTAACAGAAGTAATAGTCATTAAAATTATGCCTAGTTTCCGAAGTTGTTTATGTATGAGTAACGATTATTTATTTTAACACATAGATATTGGTACAAGGAGGCACCAAATACATATGCGCTACACAAGTCCCATTCGATGTTTGAAGGCTGTGATACTGCCCGGGTGCCCAAACCGAAGCAGGTGGTTTTCTTAGGGGGCCACACCCCGAGCCTTTGACCTAAGGGTCTGACCCACAAGGCAGTGGAGCATCGTAAGGAGATGCAGTCCCATGGTAGCCGGTGACCAACGATTGGTTCATACGCCATTTGTTCCCACAGGATACTGGAGCCCATGTGCACCATTTGTTTGGAATCCGGTTAAAGGGCCGGACATTCGCTTTTCGTCCTTTCATTTTTGTAAACAACACCCCCGCCACGAGAAGGCAGTGAGTAGGACTTCCCTGGCAAAGGCTATATACGCGTGGCGATGTGAGAACATTTCGAGAGGGAGGGCGGACTCTCCTCACTCTCGGCCGTACCAGGGCATTATAAACGATAGTCTATAATGTGCAGGAAGTTTGTGTGAAATGAGGCGAAAACCGTGTAGCCCATCTCTATGTTGCTTTTGCAGATCGTTTTCTGTGTTCCTTAAAATTCAAAAGACTGGATCTTGTACATCTAGTATACATTTACCTCATCTCCGGTGGTTAGTTTAGTGAAGATTGATTCAGTCAATGAACTTGAAAGCTGCAACAAACAGCGTGTCAGTATATAATCAGCAAAATGATAACTAGAGGAAATTTTTAAGAGGCGAACAATCAGTAGATTTTAAAATGGAAATTTAGATTTACAGTTCATAAGTGAATACTTTTACTTTTCGATTATCTGGTTTTTTCTCGGCTACTAGACTTATCTACCTTGAGAGACTCTGCTTGGAACTTTCGTTCCTTCACACAGTCCACAAAACCAGTGAAGGATGCCATGGATCGCCCTTTGAATACATTTAGCCTCTATGCTGTATACCTTCAGTATCTGTATCTCATATGTAATGTCGAACCAATTGCTTCACTTTTTCGTAAATTCGATTCTTGTCTTGTAGTCAGGTAATCCCTTTGTTTTACGAAAATGACTGGAAATCCACTTTCTATATGTCTGGCAAAATTTCTTTAAGGTGTTCATCTGCAGTATATCAAAAAACGTCTTTTTGTTGGTCAGAAATCGAATCGTCATGACTTATTATGTACGATAAAATATAAGCATCAACCAACTGAAATCAAGATGGAAGCCAAAATCCAAAGAGAGTCTTTTCTATTTAATAAATACGCACGTTGACTAATATTGTCACCTTACAACGTTTTATTTTATTATTAAGTGAGTTGGGATTCCTCCATTTGGTTTGTGACTAATTTTATGTCATTTTTGATAGTATCTCAATTTTAGTTTGACTGTAGCAAACCATAATAAGCGAATAATTTAGTTTTCCACATCCATTTTACTTTTTAGTTGGTCGTGTATGTTTATTCTCACCTTGTATCGAACAAGTTCAGAGATCCTGTACAGCTTTACTAGAATCAGGTTTTCAACATATAAGCACAGTTGAATGTCTGGAGAGGGAGTATGACGTGTCACGAACAACGTTGAACATTCCAAATATGGGTAATTATTTTTACATATGCTTATTATCAGGGTATAAATTTCTCCACACGTTCCTCAGAAATACAGTGTGTTTTTAACATCTAACTAAAGCAAAGATAACGTAATAAAACACACATCTCTTAGTCAAACTTATCACCTCTATTATCTGCATAAAAATAACAGATGGTAGATAAAACGTTTGTTTGGATTGGCTTCTTAGTGGTTTACTGACCGAAATATTAACTAATGGTTTGTGAACCTTTTGTGTGGTTAGCAGAAATGTTTTCAGACGGAACTCCGGAATTCCGATATAACTTTACGATTTCATACTTATTTAACAAATCTACTGAGTTCATAGTCTCGATCTCCTCATCTTAATACAAATTACTGATTGTCGAAAATCTGTAATTATTGGATTTACTTAGATAATTTGGCCAAGAAAACAAATGAATCACCTGAAATGTAAGGATCACTATTATGACCTGTTTTGTATGATATTGAGATTACGAATCACTAGCATTTTTCTTGACTTATTAAAAGTGGAGAAGGGTTTTATTAATTGTTTTTACACTTCCAAATATCACAAAAAACCTTAACGATTTAAACAAGTCGAATAGACTGCTCATACTATGAATATCCTTAGTTTTGGACCCTGAAAATAGTTTAAATGATAAGGTTCAATGCAGAAAGTGAATCGTCTTAAATTTTGATACTGCATAGTATTATTGGAGAAAAACATTGACGAGAATGGCATGATATAGAGAATGAGAATGAAGTATATAATCCAGCAGAAAAATAAATTTCAAGTAACAATATTTACAAGATTTCAAGGAAGCTAAATCTTAAATGTTTCTGTGACATTGTGATCGATTTCGAATTATGCTATCTAGGGCATCCATAATCTTGATCCTCATTAGGAAATTTACATCTTACAAGACTTGGTGAAATCAGTTACCGTATTGTCTTTGTAATACCGATACTCCTGCGCTACTTATTGGAGTTTTGTTGCGGTTTAAAATGGCTTAAACGTCATTTCTTAAAGTAGAAAGTTTGCATCAGTATATCATCAGCACGTACAATCTAAAGACAAAAAATTATAATACCTGTATGAGTGTAGAATTAAAAGAGAAATACAACAAAATCATCCGTGAATATGGAACAAAAAAGTGGGGTGATAAGAGGTCGAAACGTAAATATATAGTAGTAAGACCAATTCTCAAGCATATCTAATTTGTGTAGAACGATGCAAATTAAACTAAATCGTATGCGTTCATGGGTTTATAACGCTTGTTCTTTCGTCGACTTTAACATTCTGCTCTACAAATTAAATTAATTTGATTATTAGTAAAGGGGTTGTGGAGATTGTTGTATCTTCATTGAGATCGTGATCACTGTGCTCGTTAGTGACTAGCCTCGAGAACGAATTCTCAGAGTCTTAGAGGGAAGTCGTGATCAGTGGAGTCCAACCGTGTTGGGTGTGAGGCAGTTATCCACCGGAATCAATGGAAGATGGTCGCTCAATATCGTGGATTGACTGAAATTAGACAATAACACCATTGGATGCCGACTCAGTGGTCTAGAGGTCAAGTGTTTATTTAATTTGTCACAATAGGCAAACCCGACCACCACGTTAAGGTAGCAGCTACGGTCAGAAAACGGCCGTCTAGTGCCTCTAGTTTTTCAATGATGGTCTAACATTGATCGGTCCATAATCTCAGTAAGTTGTGATAACAGGAGTTTCTTGGCAATTTAATTGTGGAATTTTTATCATACTTTGGATGCAAGGCATTCGTATAGATCTGACACCATATTAAAATAAAATCCTTTATCTCTCACTTTGATTTATAATCTTTCGAACTACCAGTCTTTTTTATGCGAAGTACGTCTAGAGATCCTGTCATCATTTACGTTTGGACCTAATGCCAGATATTATAAATCTTATTCCAATGTAATATTTATTGCTTCATAGCGATTTCAGTTTTTCTGCTAAACTGATTATCACCTAACTATTCCCCATGATTATTTATAGGGCAGCAAACTGCTTCCATTTGGCTTCAAAGTGGTTTCAGTGAATATATGAGTTCTGTTTCGCAATTCAACAAACATCTGCTTCCTCCTCCTAAAACATCCGAGATAGAGAATATTCATTGTAAACGCAGTCATCCAAATCCAGAGCTAGGTAAATCGATCAATCCTAAACAACTTAAAGGTATCGAGAGTTCTACAAAAGTTGAAAATAGCTTTACTTGGGAACCGATTCTACAAGTGCGTCAAAATGTTTTACGTTTTATCAAGTTGTATTTCTTTACTTGGGTGTCCGTTTACCACTGAAACGTGTTTCAATAAAAAGCATGATTTAGCACTTTTAAACTAAATTCTTGCAAGGTAAATTTATAAAATTTTAACTCAGTTTTGCTGTTAATGTGAAACAAATCAGTTTAAGATTAGAAAATGTAACACTCCATCGAATCAAGACACTTCCACCATCTTGGATTTAGGTCATTGGGTAATGTCACTAGTCGTCGAACAAGTGTCATTTGAAGCCCAATGCATGTGTCTGTACTTTGCAAATGAGTCCCAACCTGAACACAGGTTCCTCATAAACCAATGTAGTTGATTCAATAACCTGGTCAAACTTCGTGAATAGCCTCATCGAAAGTAAGCATTCAAGTTCATTGAGACGATAATATTAACAATCTAGCTTGACACGATACAGTGAATTTCTCCCCTGATTAGAGCCCCAGCCCATTTACTTTTTGGGGAATCAAATAATATGTGTAACCTTGACAAGTCTGTGTGATTACTGAACTGCATTATTTAATTAACTTGGTGTACAAGATTTCTCAGCTGTATTTCTAAATTATTTGGATTTAGTTCCTTGTTTAACCGATTGTTTCATTTGCTTATCTCTTAAATATTGAATGATTGTTTCGTAATGTTGAGCATGTTAGGTCTTAAAGTTTTTTGAGATTCATCTTTGACGCTGCAGACCGCCGACCAGATTTCGAAAATATTCGAGCTATATAATCGATGCCTACTCCCACCAATGTCTCTATCCTACGATTAATTAGTTATTAGTCAGCGTTTGTCCCTTCGATGCATGATATCCGGGGCTCGCTGAATTGTCTTCTGAATATGAACATCACTTAAAATTGGACAAAAGAGTGTGAAGTAGCTTTTTACAAACTGAAGACGATTATTAGCTCGGAATTATTACTAACGTGCTACGATCCGTCTATGCCAATCATCGTGGCTGTGGATGCTTCAGTCCTGGAGCGTGGCGCCGTCATCTTACATCAACTTCCGGGCGCGACAAAAGCTATAATGAATGCATCCCGCACATTAACGTCGGCAGAAAAAAAGTACAGTCAGGTGAAGATGGAGTCACTCCCTTGTCTTTGCTGTTCGTCGTTTCAACAAGTTCTTATATGGTCGAGGATTTACTCTTCTAACAGACCACAAGCTTCTTACAGTTTTTGGTTCAAAATCTGGTGTCCCAACCCATTTTTCAAATCGTCTCTAGCGATGGGCCTTGGTACTATTGGGTCATGATTTCGGAATTCAGTACCGATGCACCCAACACTTTGGTCAGGCGGACGCTTTGTCACGACGTATCAGTGAACACTACGTCAGAGGAAAATATGTTTATCGCTTCGCTTTCGATAGAAGATCACGCACAATGTTAACCGACGACTGCCATTCGTGCTTTGTGAGTGTCAGCATCGGAGATCCAAGCTGCTTCCAGGAATGATCCGATCATTAAGAAGACGATAAACTACGTTACTAACGGTTGGCCGTCTACTAGTTTAGATGGCAAGATGAAGCAACTTTACCATCATCGAGATTCGTTGTGCATCGTAAACAAATGCATGATGTTTGGGGAGAGTGGTGATGTCAGAATCCTACGATCAAATGTGTTGAAGCAGTTTCATATTGGTCATCCCAGAGTAAAACGAATGAAGTCTATAGCTTGAAGTTTTGCATATTGGCTACTCATGGACCAGCCCACCATGAACTTGATAGGTAGATGCATGCAGCGTCAACAAGCTGCAAAATTTAACGCTAAAATGCCGCCGTTTTCATAGCCACAGTCTGAATATCCCTGGTTTAGGATACATGCCGACTTCGCCGTCCCAGTCAATGGAACTACTTATATATTTGTAGTTGATGCCTTTCCGAAATAACCAGAAATCCTCCCCATCGTGTCACTAACGACGATCAAAACGCTGCAGCTCTTGACAGTGATCTTCCTGAATGGATTGTCTGGTGTAATTGTATCAGATAACGGTTCACAGTTCACTTTCAACCAGTTCCACGAACTCTGCCAACGGCTAACCATCAAACATTTCCTCCCTCCCTTACAATCAAATGTCCAAGGAGAAAGGTTTGTGGACACCTTTAAGAGTGCTTTACTTGAGTTAAAAGGGAAGGGAATGCCAGTCGAATTACTATAAAACTCCTTGTTTGTTTATTGAACGACACCAAATGATACGTTACCAGAGCAGAAGTCCCCAGCAAAGATCCTCATGAGAAGATTGAGGACGATCTACAGCCCGATGCCTTCGAAGACAACCACCGTAGAGTAGGTCCTGGAAGTTGCCAACATTCGAGGTTGGATGTCTGGTGTGCACTCGAGACTACGACCCAAACCACGACTCCTGAACTGAATCACAGGTAGACTTGACGCCGGAACCAGCTACGGAAATGGTTAGCTCCAGATCACCTACTCGAAGTTCTGTTGAATACCTTCAACCTTCCCTCAGTCTCTACGCAAGAAGAAGTACAGCAACAAATCGATCTACATCACAGAAGGTAGTCACTTCGACAACAGAGATAAAAACGGTCAAGATGCGAGTGAGTCCCAAGAACAAACTATTAAAAATGCTGGGTTTTGGGGATGCTAGATCTCCAGAAATGACTCGCTAATCGTCTTATTTTTGTAATTTTGTTTTAAAAATTTGGATTTCTCACTTTCTTGCCAAGAGCACCCATTTTGGGCTTCAAATTATATTTCCCACTTGAAAGGACCTTAATATCATTGTTTTGTTTCCTCCTTCAGTACACTACTTTGTGAAGTTTTCCAATGAAATTTTCGTGCTGTATATATACACATGAGTTGTGTGCTCGTTCGTTCGTGCTTCCGACTGTTCGCGCACTATGCATTTCCCTCGGCTGATTCTGGTCTTCTCCCTCTAGTTAGCAGGGCTGGGGCGTAGTGGAATAGTTTAGCTTATCTTATTGTTGTGTTACTGACTTCCGTTCCGTTCTCCCTTTTTAGGTGATTTCGTAATCGCTTCAAACGTAGCAATATATTAGGTATAGCTCTCTTTTCAATATAAAAACTTGTGTTTGTATGCGGAATCGGTTAACTACTTTTAAACTTAGTATCATTAGGTTTGTTCGTGATATATGCACTATTCATTACGTTTTACAATAATCGTGTACATAGTTCCCTAGTCCTTACTATTTCCGACATTATTTGTTCTAATGCTCATAATTCTGTGATAATTTATTGTTAATGAACATTTGTTTTACACTTCGTAGCCTAAAATGCGGGGTCATACGGGTTACATAACTTTTGCCACATGGATACCGAGCACACAGCCAAATGTTTCAAGCACAGAGTGTACAGAATTCATGCCGTCTATGGATGAATAAGACTTCTTAATATTAGATTATGTAAAAATAAATATGTAATGCTAATGTTTTTCGTTTATTTCGTTTGTAATATCTTATTCCTGGTTTCCTGGATTAGGTTTGAATACCTTGAGTTTCTAGAAATTTCACATGCGTTAGAAAAATGATTTAAAATTAGCAACTGATGTTCTGGACTAATCAGAATCAGAGCAAATGATAAATTTGGGGTTCTGGCAGGCGTACGCTACTGGTTATGATTTGACTGGACTTTCTGCGGAAGCAGAAATACGTTATAGGCAACTTGGTTTCCTGAGGCACATCTGTTTGTATCTACGAATGATTTGTGGATGCATTTTCGATTTCTTTCGCCAGTAGCAGCCTCATACTCACACCTGACTTTCTCACTCCAGTAGCTGGTTTGGTCACGTCTATTGGAAGCGTATAAAACAGTAGCATTCTCGGATGACAGGTCAACATAAGGGTAACTTCCTGTAGCTATATTGATATGAAGCGAGGTTATTCGTTATTTTTTGCCTTACAGTTACACTGGACCTTGGGTAAAAATGGCCAGACTAACCTTAGTGATACTGTTAACGTACCAGTGCTTTCTCATTCACCATTCAACTGACGCTGTCGTGGGTGATTATATTAAGATATTAACTGTTTGTTCACTGATTCCTTAATGGAACTGTTTGCATATGCTGGAGTTTTCATGTGAACAGTGTTAACATTAATCTTAAAATTTCTATTGAGCGCTCAAGTTGAATGGAAATCAAATGAAGTTTGGGACATTTAGTATATGTAATAGTCGGGATGTTTTTGTAATGCGTCACTTTATCTCTCAATGTCAGCTGAGTGAAGTAGAAATAAGAATTCGTCGATTTTAATCATGTTAAGAACTATCTGGTGGTTTTTTGTTCTTTGGTATAAGTATGTGTTGGTGATGTTCAATGAAACAATAGAAACATACTATTGAACCATCCATTTCGAAGTACGCAGCTCCGCGAAAATTACCTACTTCAGCTGCCAACTTTCAAGAAACCATGTGTATTGACTAATTGGATGAGGTATTGGGAAATCTTTCCTGAAGGTGTTACGTGAAGACTAAATATCGAACACAACGTCAACTTAGTCCCGTACTAGGACGAAACGGCCGTTCAGTGCTTCCAGATTTTCAGTGGTCTAACATTGATCAGTTTGTGATCTAAATCAAAATTCAGTAATCTCTACAACCCTATATTGATAACTAGTAGTTACTCCCAAGTAGTCTAGTTAAAATACGTAACTTTTATAACAAGCTTGTGTGTATCGTTTTCCAATCGTTTAGGGTGTGGAAGATTATATGGCAGAATCTGAGGAAAAGTGGGTTAGTGTTGATCTTCCTTAGAAACGTTAATAGTCATTGTAGATCATTTGAAAAAAAACAGTACTTTGGTGAATAATTCTCAATAACTTCAGGCTTAACATCCTCCCAAAAAGATTGAATGATTCAAAAAGAATACATTTAGAATGTAAATAGGGACTGATCACAACTCGACACTATTAAGACGTATATGTTCTGAAGATAGGCGAATAAATATTGAAACTAATGTCAAGGGTGTCTTAATGAAGATACTCTATTTAGGTTTATCAAAATTTGCAAGAAACAACAAGGACATTCGTGAAGAGAGCTCTGTAATCCAGACTTCGACCCAAAGGTGGTATAGGTAGTGTCATAATCTCACCCAATAGACCTGTTAAAATCACGCTTAATACCTACAAATGATATTTCGCCTCAGCTAATGATTCCACCAATCTGTGGAAAGTTACCAGTGATGGCCACATCAACGTGTCTTCGTCAGGTTCATTAATTCTGTGTAGCTACTTGCTTAGGCTATACACACATGGCTTTATTCTTGAGTGCTCGTCAACACATCCAGGTGGGGTTATGAAAAGGGTTTGTTAATTCTGTGAGTAGTCCCATTCTTCGTTTTGTAATTTGCAAAGTGGCTTACGATTCTTGCCGTGTACAGCAGTCACCGGTATGGACTCAAATAAATCAGCCTTATGTATGCAGACGATATATATTCGACCTCTTCGTTTGCCTTGGAATAACAGTACAGTTGTCCGATTCTCAACTCAACTGGTCCTGACGGTACAAAATATAAACTTTTGATCCCCTCTCGCAGAATTTTGTCGACCCCATTGGGTAGCATTCTACACTGTACACCAATTTCCTTAATTTATACGATATTATTATTGTTTCTTCCTATAATCATTATTATTAGTTGTTTCTATTATTATTATTATTACCACTATTATTAATATCATTATCATTACCATCGTAATTAAGGTGTCAGTTAACTGGCACACATTTCCACTTTGTATTATTCTTGAGTGCAATTTTAACCCTTTAGTATAACTCATCGAATTAAAGTATAATTTTTTCATACCTCTTCTTATATGAACTCTCAACTTTCTGAAATACATTTTGTTAATCATAATAAAGCCGACGTGAAATCAATTTAGACCTATATCATGACCTTTTAAATGAGTGTCTATTATTGTTATCGTAACATCAGATCCTTGCTTCAAACCTCTCTCGTCCATGAGTTAGGTTGTGAACTGTTTTTTGAGCTGATACCTATTTAGTACTTACGTTTTCACTACTTTTCAGTTCAACTTATGAGAGTCGTGGTTTTAGTGGCTAATCGGTTCACCTTTCACCCACTAAATCGATGATTCTGTAGCGGTAAATAAATCCCCAAAATAAATAGCTCTGTAAGTTTTCGACATTGGATGCTGACCAGATTAGTTTTAATGGACTCACCTAACAGAAGGCGCTCGGTCGTGCATCCTCACCAGATCACGTGTGGGGACGCCGTGCTCAACATCTACTGCAATCGCTAGCCAGACTAGATCAGACAATTACGATACATTTGTGGTGGACCAAAAGTATAATAACCAAAAATTAGCGATAAAGTTATTACGTCCAAATGTTAATGTAACAATAACAATTCATACATTAGTAACACAAAATAAAAGTTCAGGGACGTTACTTAAATCGGCTAGTTGTTGCGTATTCCGTTGAGTTTTGGTCCCAAAAATCCACAATTATGAGTAATAACTCCAATGAGGTAAATATGACTCCAGTAAGTTTCTTTGACGTAGGATGTAATAGAAATGGCACAGCAGTCTAAAATGTGGATAATATTCGATTTAGAATGCGATTAGCTCGATAACGCGTGAGAATAGAACAAGGAGCGTGTGTGTGTAGTAGTGTATTTGCGAATTGCCAAAAGTGTGTCACACTATGTTAGTATCACAACGGAAAGTGTTCAAGGTCATTTACTAAAACAACAGGTACAATCATTTAATGATAAATGTACATGCGGTGAGAAATTGACAAATACAAATAATATTAAAAAATATTTACAAAATAAGCTTGCCAGACCTATCTCCACACATTGGCAATAGTCAAATACAACTCCTGATCTCCTCGATTCTGTCTTTTGATTTCTCTTGGTGGGTACGAGTTATATTAGGTGTTACTGGTAAAAGCGTTGTCAAACACTGAATACCTGTGCCATCTTCAATTCGAACCCTTTTCAGAGTACTTTAATTAAAGCAGCATCAGTAATCATCACGCAAAATTTGATTTGAAACCGGATACATAAGTTTATACTCATCTGAGTTACATTAACAATTGACTTTGATGATCTAATGAGTTTTCAATGAAAAACGTATTAACCAATATAGCTTAGGTGGACCACATGGTCATTAATTACTGATATGAGATGGATTAAGAAATGAAGGGAGGGTGGTATTGCTTACAATTATTTAAAGTAGGACTTATTGTTACTGTGTTTCAGATCTTCTTTTACACTATTCATTTGTTTTTCGCAGTTATTTTGATTCTGTTTATAGTTCTCTGTTGCTAATGTCATAAATACTTTCACTTCAAGTTTTTATACTTCACATTATCAATGTGAAGTATGGCATCTTGAACAGATACAATTTAATGTCAGAGCCATTATTGAGTATCTGTACACTAATCTATTGGGGATATATTAAACAAATTGCGTTGAAAATACATGGGTTTCAAGCTCGGTTAGCGGATACATTATTTACAAAGCTCTTGCTGTATCCCTGACTGTATTCAACACACCATTTTAGTAACAAATGTTAGTGTTTCAAGTAATCTACATACATAGTATAAGACATTAACATAATGTAAACGAAACATCCTTACGATGTAAACAATCATAGGAAGTATGATTAAACATTCCGAGTTTCTGGAAAATGTCATTTGTAATTATTATAGCATCAAATTTGTTAGGAAACGGAAACAACTAAATTTTACTTATTATAATGGAATTTCTGTATGATTCATCAAACAAAATGGTACTTTTTATCTATCTGTCAGTTTTATTCTGTAAAGAAATTTGTAAATTGCAATATTTAGGTATTAATTAAGATTAGGAGAATGAAACTGATTAATTCTATACAGGTACAGTAATGCTGGAATATTTCTTGTATATAATCCAGAACAAGTTGACATTGAAACAATTTAGTATTTACCTTTAAACTTTGTGATTTTCAAATGTAGAACGAAACTCCAGGTTTTTTCCAATACTGGAATTATCCAGTGAACACCCAAGTGTTGTGGTGGTGAAATTGAGCTATTTTGAAGTAACGAGAAAGATAGTAGTGAACCACTTGTTACTTAAAACACAAACTATATGTTTCAGATAAGGACAAACAATTAAGTTCGAGTAACCTTGATATCACGAAATTACAAGTGTTATGTCCGGACGAGAATTAGGAATGGTAACTCTTGAGAACTATTTATGGACCAATACGATATACATGTTTTTATTGTATAATTATTAAGTAGCTAAACTATGTATGTTCGTGTTCCTCTTATTAAAAGCTTTATTTTGACCTGTGAACTATTATTACACGATTTACCGTTCTTGAGTTATGCCTAGTCCATTAATTACAGACTCCGACATTCACAGCCTTTTTTGGCTAGATCGTATACCGATGTTATTTTCTATTATATGGTACGATGTGGTCTGTATATAATCCTAGT